CAAACATCAACAAATACTCTGATAACTATCAAATCTGGCGATATTGCATGAGATTGCACACGTTATTTTAAAGATTTGACTGAAATGGTTAACTCATAAGATGATGGTCTTAAAGTCTTGGATGAAAGGTCCTGGTAAGATGCATTCCTTTAATACTGTTAGGTTTCAATTGGAGTAAAGAATTATTTGAAGTAAAAAACGAGAAAACACAATGAAACTTTAAGGTGGATGAAGTAAAAGGGTTCAGTCATTATCAGATGGTGTATTTTTTGTAAGAGCCTCAAACAATGTGCAGATGGCAACATATTAGCTGCTTTGCTATTGATAAATGCGACTCCACTTGGCTCTCGTCTAATCGGTTCTTCTCAGGTGTAGCTGATTTGCCACTGTGATTTGTTTCCCCACTCTTGGGGCAGGATTGTCAATGCAAAGTGGGCAAGCGTTGTAAGAGTAGTCTGACTTGAATTTTTTTAGCTTATCCCAGCACTGCTTAAAGGTCCGGGTGTAGTCATGCTGCGCAGTCATCTCTGATAACTCGCGGTAAATTTGCTTGTTTCTTGCAGCGCCATCCAGCTTGCGTCGAATCCCCTAATCCCTAATCTGTCTTTCAAGACAGAAAGGTCTGGACCTTGTCATTGGTCCATGGTACTATTTTTGGAGCTTCCATACTGAACTAGAAACTAGAAAACTATAAAGCTTGAAAAAACAAAATTACTGTGTGGGTCATCCAGCGATGTAGCTCTGTTGGCCAATCAATGGCTGCTGTCTGCTTATGTCAAAATCATCACCTCAAAGAAGTTCACTTGGAACCATGATTAAGGCAGTCCCATAAACCGGGCTGAGTGGGGGTGGCTACCGGCATTAGGAAGGCTCTTAACTGGTGCATTGTGGAGTACAACCGATGAGTATTGAGACAGTGGCAAATAGCCAATAGTGTAACATCAGTCTGCAAGCAGTTTTTTTTTGTTCCAAACAGACAAATTTTTTATTTTTTTTAAATAATAACAGAACCAGAATAACAAAGTCCATGCTCAATAATCCAGGTATAAAATCCAACATTTTTCAGTCAGGTCATCTGGACAGTTTCTTTTTTTTGTGCTGAAACGTTTCGCCTTCAATCCAGAAGGCTTCATCAGTCAAGGAAACACACAACAAAACTGATTCTTCCCCCAACAGCTTACTCCAAAGTGGAACAAACCAGTTCTGCTTGTGATAAGATGGTCTCTTTGGTACGCCCCCTCCTCCATTGCCGGCCCTCTTCCTTGTTGACAGTCTTGTCAAACTGGTTGAAAACAACAAAGTCCATGCTCAATAATCCAGGTATACAATCCAACATTTTTCAGTCAGGTCCACCAGAATAAGCATTGTCACTTTTTCAAAAGCAAGTTGTCCAAATCATACTTGATTTTATTGACTTATGTGTTTTTATTGAGTTGTGTTTTTATTGAATTGTGTGATTTTATTAATAAGTGTTTTATATTTTTGTATTTTATTATGGGGTTCACATGATTTTATTGGTTGTAGTGTATTTAATTGTGGAAGAAGCTTTGTTAGAGCACGATGTCCAAGACAAATTTCCCCTCTGCGGCAATTAAGTATACATTATCAACATCATCATCAAAAAATATTAATTAGATCTCATCACATTTTAAAAGATACTCAGATGTATTTAACAGTTTTAGTGTTGAATGAAGCCAGGCATATGTTCAAAAGGCCTGCAAGCTGTAAAAAGTAGGAATTATAGCAATCCATTTCATTTGCTGTAACTGTACTTCCATCCTGTCAGGAGGAAAGAAGACAGTTTCACCCAAAAGACTAGAGACAGCTCTGAGCTCGACTCCTGAGTTGTGAATTTGCATCTACTATGCATAAGTTAAGCTGAGCTGAGCTTGATTGTCAGCCTGACCATCAGTTATTCAGTTATAGCTGAGGATATGCCTCCTGTCTCTCCGTGTCCCATATAGTTTTCACTGACAGGAGTTACAGCCGTCCATCTCTTTTTCAGAGCAGATAATAATGTGTGTGTGTGTGCGTTCATGTCTACCTGTATGTACAGCATGCAATAAACATGTCTGCACCACTGGATGCATGTGTGTTTACACGTGTGATTCATGATGTCTATTTAAGTGTATGTGGCCTGTTTGTCTGTCTCATGAGGTTGGACCAAAAGATTCAATGTCTGAAATTGTCTGGTGGTGTGTTTCATGGGAGAATCAGGAGAGCTGAGGTGCAAGACTTGTTAACGTGACAGACACAGGAAAACACTCACCAAGGGAATGGGCTGTTGTCGCATACTTTGCTCAGTAGCTTGACAGATGAGGAGAGAAGCAACACTGGTTTGATAAAATGTTTTTGAGTCCAGTTCTCAAGAAATCTAACTCAGATAAATGCCTGGCAAAGATCTCAGGAGCCACCATTTTATATAAGTGGCCTTATCCTTTGTGTGAATGGCCTGAGCCCTGATGAGATGACTTATTTTCAAACTGAGGTGTCACTGACTGCAGTGTGAAAGGCACTCATGATTTTGAGACAGATTCATATCTAGAAAAGTTCAGCAGAGGTACAAGTCACTGACAGGAGGAACACAGCTATGCTGGCAGAGTGACAACAGCAGTCATGTTTGTAACAAGCGTACAAAATTATATTTTAAATAGAAAAATCCGAGACGATTTATTGAGTTGAACAGTCAAACCTATAAACTTGTAGTTTGTTTGAACACTTTTTAAAATATAAAAAAAATAAAATTGTTTTGCAATGGTTGATGAGTCCTGGTCAACAGGATGAGTCAACAGGACTCATCTGGTTAAATAAAGGTTAAATAAATAAATCAAATAATAAAAAAAAGAATTGCAAGGGATTCCAATAAATTGCAGACAAAATCTGCATGTCAGAAGGCATATTAGGCTATCAAACGGACTTCACTTTACTAAATTCCTACAGCCAACAAATGGAGTGTGTTGTAATGACAAACCCTGGGTTCATCTTGACTGATATTATCATTGCAAGATAAAAACAAATATTGCCACTATGTTTTTCTAATATCTTGCAGCCCCATTTTTAGCTGGTTTCCCTGACAATATTTTGTTGGATTTAGAATATTTGAGCAAATTAAAAATTTAATTGAAGCAATAGCTTTTAAATAAGGCAACAACAACAAAAATAACAGAAAAAAAAACAACAGAATATACAAGAAAAGTCAAGTAACTAAAAGTGTGATAAAACACAACAACCTTTTACAAATTTGAGAAATGTGCTGTCACAGAATTCTAGATTTTCTCATCCTTTCTAAATAATTATTTTGTGTTTGTTAAATAAATGAGTTCAGAACTCATTCTGGAAAAATTTGCTGTTGTCATTCAACCCTTATATGTTTTAAATTCATATTCGGAAGGCAACAAGGTCTGGTTTTTAGATAGTGTTCATGTCAGTACAGTTGTAGGTTCAAAACAACTTTGAGAAACAAAATAGTTTGAAAATAATTTATCTTTTTTTGGCTGAGCTCAGACGCACGCTCTAAAAATATTCTACCTTTACTTTACTCACACAATCAAAATAAATTATTAAATCACTTAAAGAACACTAAATGAATGCAGGAATTGAATGAACATGTTAAAACTTTCAATGAATGATTTGTCTGAGATAAAAGTCAGAAAAATGTTAGAATCCTTATCTAGATTTATATATATGTTAATATATGTATTGATAGCAGATGGTTATAGCTATAATGAAGTTTTGTGCTATCAGAAGTTAAGGTTCTACTCAAGGAGGTGTTGGAAAGGTAATTAATTACACACAGACAGATGATTGAATTTTGGTGTTGGTACCATATATTAAGTGATTTAAATAATGAACAAAACAAAATACACAAAACCAATAATCCCAATATTTACAATCTGCAGACAAGTTTGGTTAATTTATGATACAGTGCACTTTTAATTTTCAGCTAGTTTAGCAGATCACAATACAAATCCAAACAAACAAGAACCAGTTGTGTAACGGTTATAGTCCAGAAATTGAATGTCCATATAACAAGAACAGTCCAGGAAGATAGTTGTATTCCATAAATTGAAGATGAGGTAAGTACGGTAGGTATGAATGAGAATGGAGTGGAGGGAAGATAAACAAAGGGCTCAGCAGCCTCCTACCAGACCCGCAAGGCCCAATGCTGAAGTCTGGTGAAGGTTTCTTTCGCTCCAGGTTAGTAGCTCACCATCAGTTGACCCAACAGGGTGTACCTGGCCAATTCCATGCTATATCCCAACATTTCATGATACCAGACGGCCTCCAAAAACAGCAGTAGTTGCCACTCCAAACACACAGTCTCATGCATTTAAGTTAAAAGTGCATTTACTATGCAACTTTGGGCAAATAAACAGTCATTAGAGACAGACCAAACAGCTTCTCCAGCAGCTTCTCCTTCTCACACTCTTGATTAACCTAAAGCCACAGCAGCTGGTAACATAACATCTTCACTGTCACATGACAAGGGTGCGTTCAAGTAACCGAGAGAGTGGGAAAATACAGTTGTTTGTTTGTTTGGTTTTTTTAAATCTGGGTTACACTTAACTGGACAGAGATAAACCCACGGTGATAAAATTCTGACACGTCAGTGCATAGTGACAAACCAGTAGATCAACATTGCCCAGTTGGTCAACCAAAATACATTAATTTGGCAGAGTCAAGAGGATACAAATCTCTGAGCACAACAATGCTATTGAGCACTGGTGATGGGCTTTTCATGAGAAAATAAAACTCTTAAAACTTTACTTGTTTCATCACTATTTGCCTTAATGAATGTTTGACTTTTCATACTGTATCTTTAATGCTCTTTTTACTTTATAAAGAACATTATCTCACTTTATGCTCAAAATGGATTTGTCCTCTGGTCAGTGCTTTTCATTATGGATAAAAATCTGCTAAATATATGAGGTATCAGAGTCAGATCAGCTGAAATGACTGTTTTCGCCTGGTAAACAAAGAAAATGGCTCACTGGGTGTACCTGATAGACGTGGTAGGCGTTTGCAGCTCTGCCCTGCAGGAACACAGAGGGGATCCACACGTTGATGAGAGCACGATGAGCTCTGAGTGACACAAACAACAAACGTCCTTACTGCCATCGTCATTATCACCCCCATTATCATTATCACCGGCAGCAGAAACATCAACAGTGTGTCAGCACTACGCTTGGACTGCAGGCAGCAGATTAACATTTCGCTCCTGTTGAACTCCTCTAAATTCACTTATTTGATCATAAGCTCACAGATGGAGGGAGGGGTATTTTTCAGCTTTTCTAAAACACTAATGGAAAAAAGTAAAGGAGAAATATCCTTACGTCTCAAAATCTGATAGGCTGGGATCATCTGATGTCTGGCTTAAATCACCTGGAACCTGGAAGAAACACAGGAGAGGCCATTAAAAAAAGACATTTCTTTTGCATCTTGTACCATACATACTCACACTCAAGTGTGAATGCAAGTTGTGTATGTGACACTTCTATTTTTCATGAGTTATGTACTGTTCAGTATCAATATTTCCTTATCAACTATCACAGAGTGGTATGGAAACTGCACCAGTCAGAGCTGGAAAGCACTACAGCCTTTTTTTTCCCCTCAGATTCTTTGGTATGAGGCGGACACATTCTCTTCCCTCTCCTGTTCTCCTCCTGCTCTTTTGCTCTTTGTCTGTGTATCAGAGCTCCTATTTTAGACATCTTCCCAAACAAAAACTACTGTTATGGATCTGATCAGCTGGACTTTCAACGCAATCAACAAAATCTTTTCAACAAAGCGACAGGATCCTGGAGAACCCTCATGTCTCTCGGAGAATCTTAGGAGAACGCCAAAGACATATTCAATTGGATTTATAATAGCAGGTTTCCTGCTTTTTGGAATCGACTGGTTCCTGGTCTATCAACATACAAGAAGACTTCTGCAGCTAATTTGGCCCTCATCAGGCTGCCTGCTTGTGAAGGTTTGGTTCGTGTTTTGAGGACTCAAAATCAGCTGATTTATTAGCTAAACTGTAAGATGGAAGTGATTTGTGAGAATCGCAGGTCACCTGCGGCTTTGGGACTCGCTAGCATGTTGGAAACGACCTTGGAGGGCCTCGTAAACATGGACCAGTAGAATACACCCTAATCTGGCCATATTGAATCTTGAAAGTACCAGTAGGACTCACGGCTGACGGGAAAAAAAATTATCTGCCTGAAAAAAATCAACAATTGTGAGTTATTTGAATCTGACTTCCTGGTTGGCCTCAAAAACAGGCTGACATAACACTTTCTCCTGGAAAATCTGTAAACTAAGGAAAGCATTGTTTATCGCAACCCCCCCCCCCCCCCCAACACACACACAAACTTGTGTGAAGGATTATTAGAACTGTGCCAGCTGACCATCATCTTATCATGACTATGGTCTATCTGGAAGTGCTTCATGAACTGCTTTGCCATCTAATGCATATGTAACATGTTCATAAATGTGCTTGCTGGCAGAGTTTTTTTGGTGTCTTAAATCGTGTCCTGTTAGGACAAGATGTGAAGAGATCTTTTTAGTAATGCCACTATCCTCTCCTTATGGCTTTGTCCCTTTTTCTATCTAAAAAATGTATTCTGAAAAGGATAAGAGACCGCGCTATCATAGTAGCAGCTACGTGCACTCCGCCCATCTTTCGGACGACTGTACGAACATATCCTCGCTGTATCTCGATACAATGATAATAAAGCTTATTCTGATTCAGATGGCGGTGCAAACCAGGGCTGGAGTGGGACTTATTTTCAACCCTGGCGTTTCATGCCTCAGACTAGCCCACTGTAGATCACGACCTATCAATTTAAAATCATAATTATAACCTTACATCGGGGGGGATTCTAGAATAGGCACTTTTAGCGGGGCTTAGCCCTCAGTGATGATAATGGCTCACGGCTTAAATTGCCTTCTAGCTTTTTAGGTGTGTCAGTTTATAGAATTTCAGTCTCCCAGAGGACTCATAGAACCAGAGATAGATGTTGGCCTTTTGGATAAGAAACAGCTTCTCTATGGCTGTGAACAATAGACGAACATTTGTTTATCTTCTCATTTCTGTCGGATTCTTAGCCATCCCAAAAAAGCTATTTAAACCTGTGCTAAAACAGTCATCTCACACCCCTGCAGTATACTCTTCTGCCTTTGTGCTTTGATCAAACCCTCCAAGACATGCACACACATACAAGCTCACTAAGTAAGATGGGAAAAGGGTGAAAAGTGAGCTACAGAGGCAGGAAAGTGAGGAGGGTTTGGTCAACAGCAGCAGCTCTTAGAAGTTAAAAGCCTAAAGAAAACAAGAAGCCAGAGATGGACAAAAACACAGAGCAAACTGTCCAGCAGAACAGGACTGAAGCTGAAGGACAAGAGGTCCTATCTTCAGCCTGAAGCTTCCTTTGATGCAGTTGTCTCAACTCACACTGTGGACAATATGTATGCTTGTTTTTGCGTGCATGTCCAGCCTCCTGCTAACTCGCTTTCTATGGCATAACAAGATGCCGGCACATTTTGTTTGTGTGCGTGTTATTATATTGTAGAGAATATAATCAAAACTACTGAGATAAAGATGTTTGTCTGAAATGCAATTTTGAGAAACTTGACGGTTGAGATTAGCATTGATTAACAAATATCCAAAGAGCCTGAAATCAAAGCAATTAAAACAGTGAAGAAAAATGTATCTATAAGAAATTGAGGGCTTTCAGTGGGTGGAAGACATCTTAAAGAAAAATGCAGTTAGCTAATATAGACAGCCTGAGCTAGAGCTCTGATCTGGTATATCTACTATTGTCCCAACTGGGCCAATTCTCATGGAACTGATACAATTAGGGAGTCCTTCATGCAGTTAGAAGGGCCCATTGGTTTATATTTTGTAGAATCAAATCTATAATACAGTAAAACAAACTTTAGAGATTACTGAATCATCTTGCATTGCAAGAAACATGACAACAACAGAGGTCAAGCAAGGTCCAGGAGAGAAACCTAGACAACTCCACAGTGACATTCTGGCTGCTCCTGAGAGATCCCAAGGTATTCCAAGGACAGAGAGGATACCTAATCTCTCCAGCAAGTTTTCTCCCTAGGGTTTGTCAACCCAGTTAAATGTAACAGGAAAATCTCCAGAGGGAGGCATTTAAAATAAATTTTAATTAAAAGTCCATGCCACCTCTGCTGATCACTAGCTCTGCCCTTCCATCAGTGGGCCAATGGTGGCCTTGGCCACCAGAGATTAATCTTCAGCCACCCCAATCATTTGAGGAAACTATATTTTAAGTAATATACAAAGTACAAAGCATATTTTCTTCAAATGATTGGTATGGCAGGTTTACAACTGTGATGGCCATCTTGTATTTTGATGGGCAAACCAATTTTAAAAAAGGAACTTTTCTTAAGCCTAGATGCGTAAATGCACAAACATATATGGTGGTGGCCATCTCAGATTTTGACCTGGCAACCCAAGTTTTGAAAAGAAACTTTCAACGACATGTCAAGAAAAATACAATGCATGAAACGTATGTCTAGACAGAGATGATAATTCAAGAAATGAGATCGAATTTGCAGCTATATCAGATGAAAATAGTGTGCTTGCGTGTGCAATCACTCACCGGTCCTCTTAGGTCAATGAGTTCCTGTCTCATCTGAACAATGAGGTGGTCTTTGGCCATAAGGGAACGGTACAGGCGCTCATTAAACTCTATCAACTCACCGTGCATCTCAGCCACCTGCAGCACACACAGAGAGGAACAAGGAAAACACAAAAGCACAGTTAAATTAATCTCACTGTGAGCCACTCATGTGAGACACAATAAAATAAAATATACGAGGACGTAATACAACCGTGTAATCCCAATACAAAGTGTAAAACTATTAAAAAACACAATCTTGAAAAGATTACTATACAGTAGGTGAGACATAACAGAAGATGACAGCAGGACAGGCTCTGGAGAAACAGAAATGGGTAAAATGGAGTGAAAGGAGGAATTAATCAATGTATTCAAAATGTTTCCAGCCTGTAACTCAGTTGTTGTCAGCTCTAACAAACATTGATGTGCCGCTAATCTCATAGGTGTGGGTTCACGTGTTCATACAAACATGACAGAGGGAATCTGCATGTGTGTATATCCCTGTGCATGTTTTACCCCTGTTCCGATGTCTACCTAACCAGGCTGGACAGCGTGGAGCTGATAGCTGTGACACATCTTGCTTGGAGAACACCTGCTGTCACAGCCGCTTCAGCACAACGTCACTGGAAACTGACAGGTGAGCTGAGTTCCACTGGTGCTCCACCAGCAGCCATCGTACATTCATGTATTCACATTCACATTTGGGAGCCAACGTATTAACATAAGGAGGGATTTTGTGTAAAAACAAGAACATTTCTGAAACAGTTTTAAAGGGAGCCGATGCAGCAACTACTTGAAACTTCAACAATAATGATTGGGGACTTAATTGTTTGTGTAAGTACTTAATATGACAAAAATGCTGAAGTTTTGATGCATGAAGGGTAAAAGAATAAGGTCAAACGAAATCTTTGAGCTGCTGCTGGTAGCTCATTAGAATCACCATGGTAACCAGACACCTCTGTCTTTCACTCCCTGACAGATCTCTTAATAAGACAGGCAAAGCTGGGGAGATTTAAAAGAAAACATGGCTCCTATAGCAGTGAAAGACACACTAGGTGAACTTTTTTTTTTTTTTAATAAAAGCC